TTATATTATTTTTGTTATTTTTATTAATATTTATAAATTTATATGTAGTTTAAGTAAAATTTAAAATTTTGAAATTTCCCAGTGATACAGTGGCGACTTTTAGCGTTAAACGAGTAAATTACATTTATGTGACTGAGTTTGGAATTGATAGTGTCTTCATATTAAATTATATTTATTTATTTAATTTTTCATAATTTTTAAAACATGACAACTCTTAGACCTTTTACATGTAATGATTTGTTCAAATTTAATAATGTGTAAGTATTAAAATATTTGTCTGCTTATTAGTAAACTTTTAACCTAAACATGAGATAATATAAAGTATTATTTACTAATTATTTTAATAACTTTATGAAATTTTTATTTTTTATAGAAATTTAGATCCTCTGACAGAAACAGTATCCTTTAAATATTTTACATTCTAACTAATATTTTACGTGATTATTATTTAATTATATGTTTATATATATTTTTCTTAATTTTAAGCTTTATAGTATGGACTTTCTTTTTATACATATTATCTAGCACATTGGCCAGAATATTTTCAAGTAGCAGAATCACCAAGTGGAGAAATTATGGGTTATAGTAAGACTTTTTTATGTTATGTAATTAAAATATTTTATATATATATATATATAAATATTGAATATGGAACACAAATTTTTTTTTAATATTGTAGTTATGGGAAAAGCTGAAGGACAAGGGGAAAATTGGCATGGTCATATAACAGCTCTTACAGTTTCACCTAATTATAGAAGATTAGGTTTAGCTGCAATGTTAATAGAATTTTTAGAGAAGGTTTCAGAAAAGTAAGTCTAATGAAAACTTATTAATATATATTTTGTATATTTTAATATATATGTTATTATTATTTTAGGAAACAAGCATATTTTGTAGATCTCTTTGTAAGAGTTAGTAATAAAGTAGCAATCAAAATGTATCAGCAATTGGGATATATTGTATATAGAACTGTTTTAGAATATTATAATGGAAATCCAGATGAAGATGCTTTTGGTATATAAAATATTACTTTTTTTGTAAAAGATTTATTTAAATATTATAAATTAAATATTTTATATATTTTTTTTTTAGATATGAGAAAGGCATTATCTAGAGATGTAAAGAAAAAATCAGTAATACCATTAACTCATCCTGTAAGACCTGAAGAAATAGACTGAATAATGTAAATATATTATTATAGATTTAATATAAATTAAATTATGGTTTATGGGAAATTTAAGAAATATTATTGTGATAAATTTTTAATATAATAATATTTAATATAATTTTTAATATAATATGTAAAATAAATAAATAGTCTTTTAAAGTATAGATCCGAGCAGTTTATTTCTTTTCCTGTACAATAGTACAATGTTTTTCGCGTACACCGCTCGTGCCTTTATGCATCGTTTTATGTGAATAAATAATAAATAGAAATATAAGATGGTAGGCTCAGTAGAATATTCCGTAGCAGCCAAACGATCGCAGGAAATTTCTACCACGATTGTAGCCTTTATCAGCTGCCATTTTTTCATTCTATTATATTTAGAAACTTAAATCTAAGTGATATTTACAGATCAATGACTCTTTTTACTGCATCATAATACAAAGGTGCTAAGCACCTAAATGATAGCATTTCATTGCGTATTATAAAAATTAAAGACAAAATGTCGTTCTTGCATATCTTTGTACTGCTCCCAGTAATCTGAGGTTCGATCGTTTCTTATTTTATATAAATCTTCAATGCGCTAAACAAAGCCGTGCATAAAATTACTTTGTCTATACTGCTCAGAGAGGCACAGTCATATCAGCCTATCTCAGGAATTATAAAAGTATAGAAGTCTTGTACACATTGCACGAAAGCCCTACTTTCAACTTTTATTTATTTCTGGATACTAAAGAGAAGGAAGACATTTGCTAGTTATGTAGGACACATCAAGCAAGTACAAAACTTCTATATATGAAGGGATTATTATTTAATTGGTACAAAAATGTTGCACATATGTTATCGCAGGAACGATATTAATTATTTAAAAAAAATGCGTTCCCATTACATCTATTTGGTCATGTCCTTATAAAACAAACTTATTTGTTTAAACATTAAATAAATATAAAATATAAGACTAGCTGTTATCAAAATAATATGATAATATGTTCTATATGTCACTTTCTGATGAAAAATTTTTTGATTGAGCTTTAATTCAATTAGATTTACATTTAATATTATCTGTACTTACTCTTTCTACTGTTTTTTGAAATTACGAGTTATAAAATATATAAAAAATAATTAGATGCAATAAAAGATTATATGATATTTTTAGAATTAAAATGAATCATTGTATGAATAATATAATCGAAGTATTGTATATAAATATACAATTATAGTAAGTACAGTTATTTTAAATAAAATATTAAAAATCTGAAAATTTTTATATTTTTATGTTTTTTTTGTTCATAGCTGCAAATTAATTGCAGCTTATTGTATTGCAATTAATTTGACAAAAAATAAAAATTTCGTCGATATAATCTTACATTAAAGACAAAAGTATCGCTGCATAAGTTCTAGACAGTGCTAGACTTCTAAACATTCAGTAACTCTGATTAATTATATACATATGTAATATACCACTTTTGTTTAGTTATCTTACGCTAAATGTTTTGAATTTGGTATATAAATACGGTAGCAAAAAGTTTCAGCACAATGCTTTAGCTTTTTCAATGAAACTATTCGATGTAATTTCAGATATACTAATTTACTTAGGCAGTGTTGCAAAATCGTTTTCGATTAATTTCAGTCACCCACGTTTAAATCGCGCAACGTGGACCACAAAGTTTTGCATGCTATCAGATATGTACACAGAAATGTTTATCAAGCATCATTTCTAATTTACACAAAACGCAACTAAAATCAACTACAGCGCACATGTTGCTGAGTGTCGTCCAAAATATCATTACGCGGATTTTTATAATACAGCCTGTAGTATCTTCGAGTATAAAGTTAGTGCCATGATAGGATCAGACTTTCATGAATCAAGTGCTGTATTCCCCTGCTTTTTTCCCCATTGACCAGTCTTTTTTTAAGGTCTTTGGTGATCTGGCGTAGATTTTAAAATATCTGGTTGCGTTGGAAGACAGCCTGAACCTAATTTAATTTTCATTTCATCAATAAAAAATAAAATACATAATAATAAAAAACATAAAAATATAGATTTTTACAAACCAGTTGTGGGTCGTAGGGTTGATTTTATGGATCTGTGAGATCCATTACGAGTTAATGTATTCATTTGTGGAGTACCAGGTAAAGTGTGTCCCAAGGCATTCATATAATCGGCAATTAATAATGTTATCTCCAAAATCTGCACAAATATAATCAAATGATATTTTTAATATTTAGAAATTTGATTTTTTAAATTTGATTTTTAGTTTTGATATACCTTAGGTTTCGAAAGTGCAAACAAGAGTTTCTGTTCAGCTGCACCTTCATCAGAACAAGCAACCAGCATGAAATCATCCAAACATCCTCCAAATGTAACTATATTCGCATAATTATAACGGCACATCACTGCCATTGTTTGCAATTCTAATAGTATAACACTATCTTCGGAAACAGCTATCCATACGGTTATTGGTTCAGTTTGCTTTAACTGAGACAAATATGTTTAAATAATTTTTTTTTTACTTTTTTATTCGTAAAAATATTACTAACCTTTGCTTGATAAAGTGTAGCTCCGAAGAAAGGCCATTTTCTAGTGCAAGTTAGATATATGCGTACACAATCTAATACACTACGACCTTTTAATGCAAGCCACTTTTCTTGCAATTTCTCTTGCAATTCTCTATAACAATAAAAATCCATAATTTTAAATATAAATAATACTTATTAATAATTTCTTTTAATTTAGAAAACACTTGCCTCAATTGTTCGGCAGTAATATTTGTTCGATATCGTACGGGATAAAATTTGTCCAAAGCTTGAAGCACCAAATGATGCGGATTACTTCCTGGGCCACTCCCTCGAGCTTTGTCATTGTTATATTCTCCAAAATCGATCTGTAGCGTTTAATCATTGTATGATTATTTTTTTATTAAAAAAATTGTTATTATTTTAAAGGATTTATAATTTTACCTGTGCCATTAATGACGCAAGTTCAAATGCAAGTTCTCGATTTACCGGAAATTTTCCTTGTACGACTTGTTGATTTACTTGATAACAAAGAAGAAGTCTTTCTCTATCGGTTTCCATTTTAGCTGCCTGTCTCCAATAACATCGCGATTTATACGTTAATTGTATTACTCTGGTATTTTCGAATTTTCCCGAACCCTTTTCTCTCAATGCAGTTTCCCATTTGGAGATTATATCACAAAGCTGAAATGATAAAAAGTAGCGTATGAAAATATTTTCTTTTATTATAATTCTTTTATTATTCTTATTTCTTATTCTTATTTCTAATTTACGAATTTTTTTAAAGTGCATACTTTTGCTTGAAGATCAATGAAGTGTTCAAGATCTTTTTCAATCGGATCGTCACTGAATAACGTGAAACCTGATTGATGAACGTCTCGGCAACCAATTTCTTGATTTAAAGTATTTAGAAATTCTTCTATTGTTGTGCTACCATCAAAGCTTACAACCTGATACGTGCCGTTCAAAAAATGAACTGGTATTGCGTGTGGTAAGGAATGGTGGTAAGGATTTTTCATTAATATTGATAGAACTTCCATTCTCGAAGGCTTCACCTCTCTTCCACCATTTTGAAGCGTTCTTTCCAATGCTCTTTCACAATAAGCTGCATATTTGCCGCATTCCGTTCTAACAGAATTTATACATTCAATTATATATTATATTCAAAATTAATTAAAATTAAAATTTTAATTAAAACGCTTACTTGGTATCCGCATTTCTTTGCAAGTGTAACTTCAGGTACCAGAGTAATCGATTATTTCTTGGTAGGAATAGAGAAACGGCAAGCGCGAGCAGCTGCCATCCCTGGATAAGAACGTACTGGGCGGGATTAGTTTTGCAGTCCAAAATCGTAGAAGTCGAATGGCCCTGCATGAGCGGAGGACTGTGAGAAGTGGAGGCCGTCGATTGTGCGTCCGCATTTTCACCGCTGCCATTTGCCGCGGGACTTTGCGTATCGCAGGTGAACAGCGATTGCGTGGCGCAGAGAAGGAGCTGCTGTAATGGTATGCTGGCATACTACTATATCCCTGGATTGAACCAGACCTAATCTACTACTTTTTTTTTTTCTTTTTTTTTTAATAAGTCGCGCTCCATTGTCCCCGTTCATTGCTTTTTTATTTATTTTATCAGGACAATCAAGGAAATGTATTTTAAAAAACTTTGTATTCTTGCAGTTCATCGATTTCTTAATATCCATCTTAAATTATACGAGGAATTTTCGGCACAAATATTTGAATATTTTTAGATTTGATGAAACACTCTATTCGTTACACGTCATAATATAATGTCTGTTAGTATGTAAGCAATCGAAATCGGACTGATTAACGCATAACTCTATGTATGTTAATCACATAAAACGCATGAACTGTAATAAGTCGAATGAATTAAAAGAAATGTGGATGAAAGAAGCGCTTTTGTATTTTTTAGGTCATGTGAGTTTACCTTACAGCTCGAAACTATTTTTTTCTCATTCGTTTGTCACGAATGAATTATATTGAAATTTTTTCTTTTTAATATTTTCGAAGCTGTACTTAACGACATAATAATTTCTGAAATTATCGATTCCGAAATAATCGCGTTCTACGATGTTCGAATCTGTAAGGAGTTTTTAAATGTTACTATTCTTTTCTTTTCTTTTTTCTTTAGATTATTTTTCTTAAATAACCGTTAATGACCAGATAATCAAAGACTAATTTTTCTAAGCAGCATTCAAAAAACAGAGAATATTTTGTAATGAGCTATCGAGCAAAAAAACTTACGGAAAAAGAAACAAAAAATCAATCTAGTAAAAAGATGTTTTTCTGTGTGTGGTTTTTTATGTACACCAACATACCATTCTGCAAGTGTGTGTGCCACAGAACGTATTTTGACAAATTCCGAAATCATGTTACTTTTATTTTATTAATGATTTAATCAACCGATAATGCATCGATGATAAAGTGAAAATTTGATTGATGAAATATTGAGTTTTATTGATTTTTTCTGATGAGAGGAATGAATTGTCGAAATATGTTCGGCTCACATGATAGGGCATCAGGGTACAAGGTGATCGGGTATCATGTATAAATATTATACACAATAAAAATAAAACAAACTTAACATGACGATGTTCTATGAAAAAAAAAAAAAAAAAAAAAAAAAAAAAA